ATATAGAAGCAAGAAGCGGGTCGGAATCTGTAGCGGGCGCAGGGCGGGAGACGGGGTTTACAGGGTTACCGGAATATGCTTCGTTTATCTTATCTGCCATTTGGGCCAGCTGCTCCAAGCTGTGGTCATCAACGAAAGCGCTGATGACGTGGGACATGGAGGGTGGGAGTTTTTCGAGCCATAGTTGGACCATAATTTCTACCGCTAGCTTACGGCCGCAGAGGAGACTGCGCATGTGGCGAAGCATTTGTGACGGCGATCTGTCCCCAAGTTCGACAGTGGTGAATAGATTCCGTAGCATCTTGTTTTCTAATTTCCATGCCCTACTTATGACGGCCGCTCGAAGGGTGCCCTACGAATTTTTCTTGGGAATATCTTCCAATAGATCTTCAACTTCTGTTGCTACATCACAGGGAAGATGCTGGACAACATAGGAAAACCGTGTGCCTTGGAAAGTGATGCGTCGGGTAGCAAAAACGGCCTCAACCTGGTGAAAGCATACCCTGGGGTTGCATGGATTGTAGTCTGGCAAACGTATGCTAATTGCATTCTCGACTAAATCCACTGAATCAAAGTGTGCTTCCATAATTACCGGGCAAAAGAAACGAAATCACGACGACTTGAAAGAAAAAGCTTTCAAAAAATATCTAGAAATACTCGGGCTCACCAAATTTGTAGTGGTCTGGCTACCCAATAAGTTAGTTTACCAGGAGTTTGTGGTAAAGAAATAAAAATAATTACGCTAGGTTGGGTGTACACAAATAAAGAGATCAGATGGAACAGACTCACTAACAATTGTTCCCCTTAAAATATTTCGTCGTTGGCCCAGGCCAGCGAATAAACAATAATCCAATTATGTTGGTCCAGAGGTCTTCTTCTGAACAGTTCCCACATATAGTAGATTCCGAAGATGTCTGAAATGTTTTGGTACCGGATTAAGTACATGAGACTCGCAAATGACAGCTGTAATCGCGAGCGAAATCAGAAGAGAGAGTCGAAGCACGTGACCACGCTTGTATTATGTGAAACTGTACAAGTGCGCGTTTTTTGTAGTTTTTCGTATTCAAACAAAAAACGATTATGCAACTGATGAAATACGTAGTGTTATAATGGAAGTAAAATAAAGGTACAAAACGTCACAATATCACAAGCCTAGTTCAATTCTACTAACACTTCCCCAAGCGTGATTTTGACAAACTCGCGTCGCTTTGAAGAGTGCATCCAATGACGGTATTGATGAAATTGTTGGACAGAAATGGGGTAAGAGACATCTCTATCAACCCCCACTAGTTGTGGGCTAAGTATGAACCCCAGCACAGCGACAAGCATGGGATTGGCAGGAAGAATTCCCCCAAGCCTAAGGACGTCCCTGATTGGCCAAAGGCATTACAGGAGCCGATGGTTCGTGTAAATTTGCGAAAGCGTTCTCTCGCTTTTGGTCTGTTTACGGAGTTAACACGTGTCATTTTGTTGAACATTTCACTCTAACGTTAGGGTGAAATGTTATGTGCATGACCCTTGGGTCTCATATCCGAGCTTCGAGCTCACGGAGAATGTGCGTGGAAATTGTCAGAATTGTGCGCCGTTGTGTTGACCACACCTTCATACTACGTCAGGTGTTAGAGCAACGCCACATGTACAGACGACCCACAATCTTGTTTGTCCTTGATGATGATGCGCCATAGCACCTCGGTGGCCGGTCTACTTCGGATTTCGCAGAGAAATGTATAGTTATACATGCGTGGCTGTACATTACATTTACATTTTTCGGATGCAAGACTGGCGCCCCCTATGGCTACAACCTTCAAAGTCGCGCAGATACGATTAGCGGCGGGTATCCACTCAAGCAGAGACCATTCTCCTGTTGATTTATAAGTACGTCAATGGGATGCCGCGCAGCTTTTCGCGACGGCATTCTTATCACCGGAGGTTTGCGACCGAAAACGACAGAACTTTGACGAGGCATTTAATTAAGTGAGCGTGCTTGGGTCTCAAATTTTCGCTTCCGTACTGTAATGTACATAAATGGCAGTCGGATCTGGTGCACCCAGAGGCTTCGAAGTGCTTATATTAAAGTCAGTAAGCTAAACCGGGTTTCGAGGATCGATCATTGATTTTTAGGTGATTTCGGCACGGATTGCCTTACAGATATCGCAAATAAGGGCGATGTAGACCTCTTGGGTTCGTCAGTCTCGATGGATGGGCCCGGGTGAAGAGTACTGTTGTTTGAATGCGGAGGGTAGAAGAAAGTATGTGATAGAGAAAGAGGAGAAGCATCTGAAGTAGGACCGTTTCGCCTATTTGTCCACCGCATTAGGTGAGGTGACCCAGATGGTGATAGGAGATCAATCTTGCTTGTACGATTCATGGTTGCGCAGCTTCTTATGACGTCCAAACCCAGACAGGAGAATGATTAGAGTCGTCAGACGAGGCTGAGAACAGCTGCTCTGACTGCCGTCCACCCATCGTTATCGTCCATCAGCGTCTTCTGCAGGTGTTCAGTAAGATTTGCTCGATATTGTTGAGCTATTGGTACCCGTTGTAGTTTATGAACGGAAATGCTCCGCTTTGGCCTCCGAAATCCAGAGGGAATCAATGTGCCAACCGACCTCGCAACAAGCAACAGCTCGCAACTTCGAACTCCGTAAGGAACGCAGTCGTTATTTGAGGCTCCCCATCGGTCAGTGACGGCCTTACGATCCAACCGATTTCATCACTGGCTTGCAGTCCGTAAGCTCCGAGTAATCCGATGTGAGCACTTGTGCTGAAAGTCCGTAATGGACAGGAACTGACAGTATTTAGCACAAAGAAAGAAGTCGCTCCTTGTAATATGAACAGTGGTAGTCGACTCAACAGCCAAGGAGCCTGTCAGATGGGTTGTTCGAGTGCCTGTTAAGGTGACATAAGGTGCTTTTTACACGCACCAGACAGGTGTAGTAATTTCGAAGCGGTGAAACCGCCAAATGGCACTACAATTTCCGCAGATACGTGAATTCATTTGAGCCGCGATGCCAGCGCTCCCCGACGTAGAGTCGAGAAACGCTGTGAGTCTTCTGTGGGAAGGGGTTGGGGAGGGACATCGGTGGACGCTAGAGACATTATCAGACATGGCCCAGTCGCGCCCTCAGTCGCGCTCGTGCATCCAAGCTATTGCCTTCAATGCATAGCTTCTTTTCCAACCCCCCGCTTGACAACTCACTGACAGTGCTGGATTTATGCACCAATTTACCAGCTCGCGCGTGCAATGCGCAGCTACTTACCCCCCAATCATCGGTGAACGAAACTGTGGCAGCTACAACCAGTGTACGACCAGTACGCGGTTACTACAGCTGATAATGATGATGATGATGATGTGAGTCTTCTGTGAGTCCTTTTATTGCTCCATCCCGTACCGTACAATCTACGACTCCATTTAGACTATAAATAAAGGTGTGCCGCTCGCCACACTCACCATACCGAATAAGCTTCTGCCTCGGATCCTGTATCCTATTGGTGCTGAACCGCTTTTCAAGTAATTCCATCAATCCCCAACACGAATGGTCCCATTCGCTCCTCTTACAAGCCCCTGCTAAGAAGGAACTCGGGCCTTCTCGTCTCCCCTCAAAATAAACGCCTTCCCAAAGTCCTTCGCAAGGGTATCACCTGCATTCCCAACACGCAGATTGCTCAGCTGTGACACTTTTGGTGCATAGTGCTGTACCACTCGAAAGAGGTATGAAAGCTGAGACCCTACCAGGTTGTCCAAGCCTAGAAGGAAGTAGTCGAGATACCGGGATTGGTTTCGAACCACAGACCTTCCATTCAGTAAGCTCGCATCTTAACCACTGAGTTCTATCGACCTCACATGCAGGGTCCTTATTAGGCCATTTAGACAGCGTGACTCTGTGATGGAACTGCAAAGACAGTTTCTCATGCAAACATTCATTGGCTCTGGCAGACTGAGCTCACGTTCCAACTACAAAAGAACGCTTCGGTCACCATATCCTCATAAGGCAGTTTCAAAGATGACCCACTACAAACCCTCGTTGATTAACATTGTCTCCTGTGTGTGCCTCCAATTCTACACACTGGACAGGTTACAACTTAAAAAGGATCGATCACAATGCATAGGTTGCGCTGGCTTGGCCACCGACTTCCTTGAAGGGTTCTTTTCGCACAACCGCGTGAACTGTGGAAGAGAGCCAGAGGCGGTCAAACAATGGCTTAGCAGCGAAGTATCAGTGCCATTACCAGAAAACTCAGCTGCGCTGTTCATTGCCGTATCCTTGGATGGAAACCCGAGAGGGGCGACATCAATGGGTAGAGACATTGTCAAACATGGTCCAGTCACGCCCTCAATGGCACTCATGCATCCAAACTGTTGCCTTCAATGTTCCCTTCCCAACCCCCCCCCCATTTAAGTCGACTGACATTACTGTATTTACGCACAATTTTATCAGCTCCCGTCTCCAATGCGCAGCCACCTATCCCACCCCACCTAACAATCGGTGAACTAAACTGTGGCAGCTACAACACTGAATGACAAGCACGCGGTTCTCACAGCTGACAATGATTATGATGATGACTTAAAAAGGAGCCCTGGAAGTAACAACTGTCGGGCTGGGGGTGGTCCCTGTGGCCACAGTCATTCTGCGATTCATTCTTATGTCATTTTCGACACGAACTATGTGTAAAGTAGCTGTTACGGAAAAATGACCACTGAAGTTCGAACAGACTCCTGACATCTACGCGCCAGCTATCTTTCGCAGATATCTTGGTTCGTAGCTGTAGCGCTGAGGTTTATTCACCTCAACATCATCATCATGATCATCAAAGGCAGCAACATCAGTGTTGACACTGATGCTTCACTGCCGTACTGTTGAACTCAGATGACCTCATCTGCCCTGAGGGTAAATCACAATGGCTGATTCTCATTATGACGACTTAAGTCCGCGTCCACTTTTTGGCTTTCAGCATAATGTTTTTTATGGGATGAGATCGTACCCACTCCGAGACCGGTAATGTCTTTTGATATATCAGGTTCTTTGAATTTGACCGGATTCACCACTCGACGTATTATTTTCATCGCGTGTATTTTGCCAGTTATCGCCCTAATTTTATGCGTGGCGCTTTGTCTTTCCACTGGAGCCTGTCTCGGAACTGATTGCACAGTAAATGATTTATTCCTGAAGACGTATTTTCTCCTAGGATGTCAATTTTCTCCCTTCACTCAGCGCAGCAATCAGCGATGAACAGCCGCAGCGAAGCATATGGATGTGTTTCATTTGTATAAGCTCATCCATACGAATCCTCTTACTCTTCCCAGTATCCCGCGTCTACCGTCGTCTTTGTCACACTCTGGGAGGTGCTCATCTCGATTGGATGGTTACTCCCATTTTCAGTCTATCGACGGTGGAAATTCTGTTTCTAAGCTTGCTCTCCCTATTCCCCTCCGCCACATTGTACGGTATGTACACTAGTCACTTTCAGAAGTCACGTGTTACATTCAACCAGAGGCGCATCGCAATTGCCTAGCTATATTCGTTTTCTCATCTGTGATGTTCATGGGATTCGACACCTGCTTGTTTATTCGAATGGCACAACATTCGAAGAATCGCACAACGGTAAGTTAAAATGCATGTGGTTATTGGTGTCAACTTTTGGTATACAACTCCCGGGTGATCCAATTGTTCATTCTCAGCAAGTACCTCCAGGAGGAAACCGATCATTATCGTTACTTATTGGGGTACAGTACCACCAGACTGCATCTTTGTCCCTGTGGATGGCATAGTTTGATATCATGAGCTATATAGAGCCGAAAAATGGGGATATTCAACATGTTTAAATCGTGCAGGGAGCTCTTGGTTATCAGATAGCTCAGTCGACAAGATGAAGGCCTGACATTGTCCTTCGTTATAAATCTGATTATATTGACGAGATACCTGTGGTGCTCTGCGGTTGTCATACATTCATTAGAACGAACGAAAAAGATCCTTTCCCCTAAAACGCCTCGAGAACAAAGGTTGTCATAGGTGCACATTACAAAAGTCTGAGACTAACTGCTACATTTGTCATTCGATTGTACAAGCTCCCAAATGTACGACGTTATCCACTACGTGATGTCTTTTGCATGAGTGGCTCACCGTATCATGTGGTTTCATGCTACCTGGCGGAACTGTGAGAGTCAGTCCGGGAACAATTAGGTGTCCGTGGTCCTCGTAACACGTCCGAGTTCTGTTCAGATAGACGTTAGCCCTGGGCAGATGTTTTCTGTAGACGTCTCATCTCTTACAAATGTTCGGCTGTTGGAAACAACTAGCTACATTTGTGACTTTTTTGTTATCCAGTCAATCATCAGTTTATCTATTCCCATACTGGATTTAAAATAGTCACTTTTGCTGTGTGCCTTCAATACGGTTTTTAGTCAATGGCTCTGTATACAGATATACCGCTTCTAGTCGATATTCTTATTATTAAGACCGAACGTGTCGTTTTGTTTCCAACAACCGAACGGTTTGAATTCTGTGGACGGGGTATCGATGACATTTTTACTATCGATTATTGTCACACTACAACAAAGGCGATTTTAAGCAATTAATTCGGCGCGTTCGGCACTACTTCACCGCGTAACAAGAGACCAACAGCATTTTTCACTTCCTTAATGTTGGATTAATGTAGAGATCAGGTGGGATGCCTTAGCGACGTATGTGCCAGAAATGAATGTGGTTTAGTCATAACACACTTTCACAGCTTTCTGGACATGAATTACAAGCGGAATTATTCTGAATGTTGTGCCATTGGGACTTATAAGGCCCTGTATTTACGCACAATTTTATCAGCTCCCGTCTCCAATGCGCAGCCACCTATCCCACCTCCCTAAACAATCGGTGAACTAAACTGTGGCAGCTACAACACTGAATGACAAGCACGCGGTTCTCACAGCTGACAATGATTATGATGATGACTTAAAAAGGAGCCCTGGAAGTAACAACTGTCGGGCTGGGGGTGGTCCCTGTGGCCACAGTCATTCTGCGATTCATTCTTATGTCATTTTCGACACGAACTATGTGTAAAGTAGCTGTTACGGAAAAATGACCACTGAAGTTCGAACAGACTCCTGACATCTACGCGCCAGCTATCTTTCGCAGATATCTTGGTTCGTAGCTGTAGCGCTGAGGTTTATTCACCTCAACATCATCATCATGATCATCAAAGGCAGCAACATCAGTGTTGACACTGATGCTTCACTGCCGTACTGTTGAACTCAGATGACCTCATCTGCCCTGAGGGTAAATCACAATGGCTGATTCTCATTATGACGACTTAAGTCCGCGTCCACTTTTTGGCTTTCAGCATAATGTTTTTTATGGGATGAGATCGTACCCACTCCGAGACCGGTAATGTCTTTTGATATATCAGGTTCTTTGAATTTGACCGGATTCACCACTCGACGTATTATTTTCATCGCGTGTATTTTGCCAGTTATCGCCCTAATTTTATGCGTGGCGCTTTGTCTTTCCACTGGAGCCTGTCTCGGAACTGATTGCACAGTAAATGATTTATTCCTGAAGACGTATTTTCTCCTAGGATGTCAATTTTCTCCCTTCACTCAGCGCAGCAATCAGCGATGAACAGCCGCAGCGAAGCATATGGATGTGTTTCATTTGTATAAGCTCATCCATACGAATCCTCTTACTCTTCCCAGTATCCCGCGTCTACCGTCGTCTTTGTCACACTCTGGGAGGTGCTCATCTCGATTGGATGGTTACTCCCATTTTCAGTCTATCGACGGTGGAAATTCTGTTTCTAAGCTTGCTCTCCCTATTCCCCTCCGCCACATTGTACGGTATGTACACTAGTCACTTTCAGAAGTCACGTGTTACATTCAACCAGAGGCGCATCGCAATTGCCTAGCTATATTCGTTTTCTCATCTGTGATGTTCATGGGATTCGACACCTGCTTGTTTATTCGAATGGCACAACATTCGAAGAATCGCACAACGGTAAGTTAAAATGCATGTGGTTATTGGTGTCAACTTTTGGTATACAACTCCCGGGTGATCCAATTGTTCATTCTCAGCAAGTACCTCCAGGAGGAAACCGATCATTATCGTTACTTATTGGGGTACAGTACCACCAAACTGCATCTTTGTCCCTGTGGATGGCATAGTTTGATATCATGAGCTATATAGAGCCGAAAAATGGGGATATTCAACATGTTTAAATCGTGCAGGGAGCTCTTGGTTATCAGATAGCTCAGTCGACAAGATGAAGGCCTGACATTGTCCTTCGTTATAAATCTGATTATATTGACGAGATACCTGTGGTGCTCTGCGGTTGTCATACATTCATTAGAACGAACGAAAAAGATCCTTTCCCCTAAAACGCCTCGAGAACAAAGGTTGTCATAGGTGCACATTACAAAAGTCTGAGACTAACTGCTACATTTGTCATTCGATTGTACAAGCTCCCAAATGTACGACGTTATCCACTACGTGATGTCTTTTGCATGAGTGGCTCACCGTATCATGTGGTTTCATGCTACCTGGCGGAACTGTGAGAGTCAGTCCTGGAACAATTAGGTGTCCGTGGTCCTCGTAACACGTCCGAGTTCTGTTCAGATAGACGTTAGCCCTGGGCAGATGTTTTCTGTAGACGTCTCATCTCTTACAAATGTTCGGCTGTTGGAAACAACTAGCTACATTTGTGACTTTTTTGTTATCCAGTCAATCATCAGTTTATCTATTCCCATACTGGATTTAAAATAGTCACTTTTGCTGTGTGCCTTCAATACGGTTTTTAGTCAATGGCTCTGTATACAGATATACCGCTTCTAGTCGATATTCTTATTATTAAGACCGAACGTGTCGTTTTGTTTCCAACAACCGAACGGTTTGAATTCTGTGGACGGGGTATCGATGACATTTTTACTATCGATTATTGTCACACTACAACAAAGGCGATTTTAAGCAATTAATTCGGCGCGTTCGGCACTACTTCACCGCGTAACAAGAGACCAACAGCATTTTTCACTTCCTTAATGTTGGATTAATGTAGAGATCAGGTGGGATGCCTTAGCGACGTATGTGCCAGAAATGAATGTGGTTTAGTCATAACACACTTTCACAGCTTTCTGGACATGAATTACAAGCGGAATTATTCTGAATGTTGTGCCATTGGGACTTATAAGGCCTTAGCGGATGGCACTAGAAGCAGAATGGACGTGCAGCTCGAGAGCGGGTAACCGGAGACGGCTGTGATGAAGTGTTTGAAGTAGTCCTTTACAACAGACGAAGGTAGTGACCTTTCAGTCTCGGAAATGCCTGCCATTTGTAAGCTACCATTCAGAGGCGATAGTGCCTCTGAAAACGGTCGGAATATCTTGAAGCTCACGTGAAACTTTGCCTCCCTACTGATCGCTTTCTCAACACGAACATCTGGGACAACTTGCCGGTCCATGACTCATATATTCGTTCGTTTGGGAATGTCCCTTAAGCTACATCGGTCGGACGACTGGACACCAATCTCAAAGAATTTCTGAGCACATACCGTCATAATGTAGAACCGAACAAGTGCAACACCTAGCGAGCGTGATTGCATCTCACCGGACTAGTCCGATTGAGCTGGAGATAGCTCACTCGCTAATGCGTGAGTTGGTTCGAATGCAACCCCGACATCTCGACCGTTCCGGTCTAGGCTTGGGTAACTTGGCAATATCTCAACCCTCGTACTTCCTTCTAGTCGCACGGTAGCTGTGCACCGAAAAAGTGTTGCAGCTGGACTACTATTATTATTAGTCATTCAGCTTGGTGTATCAAGTGCTAGCCGATCGCTACAAGACGAAACACGCAACAGCAAAGACTATCGCTGTTCGATTACAGCAAACAATCTTGCGACAAAAAATCGTCCAGCTGTAGCACCCTTTCTGTGCCTAGTTGCCATATCTCCAGAAGGAGGCACGAGGGCTGGGATACTGCCGGGTTACCCAAGCCTAGACAGGGGAGGTCGAGAGACAGAGGTTTGGTTCGAACCACGGACCTCCTGGTCAGTAAATTCGCGCTCTAACCACTGAGCCATCTCGCCCCTCGAAAATGTCATGTGATAGCGTTGACCCTGTCTTAGTAGACCAACGATGGCTCTTTACTGACCCCGATAGAGTAGCCTCAACACTGTCTTCTTTACCGTACCCTTTACCGCCTGGTCTACTTCTGTGCAAATAACTTAGTCCTGTATTCCGTGTATAGCTGTAGTTTCCAGTTGAGAAGATCAAAAACAATTGTCCGCAATGCCAGATTTATACCAGTGAAAGGAAGAAGGCCTTCGCTGCGGAGTTACTTATTAGAAAACACCAACTGAACAGTTACAGACCATTGGACAGGGAAGCAAAACTCTCATATGCATCTTGTTTATAAAAACTGAGTGTCCATTCTCTTCTCGAACGCATCTTCCTGAACTTTCCTGGATACTCACCGACTGTTACTCAAATGCAAACGAATGCTACAAAGCAATTCCACAAATTCCGTAATAAATCTCAATTTTCAATAGACGCGAAGCGGATTTACGAGAAGACCACATACTACTCGCATACCTCACCAGCAGTATCCACCGTTGCACCAGTATGTCATTCGTTTCCTGGGTCATGCTTTTTCAAGCTTAGTTAAATACATAGAATCAGGACGATGGTGTATTACGTTGAAGAACTGGATTAAATGACTCAACTCATTATTCTGCTCACATAGTCGGAACTCATCTTCAGAGTTATGCTCCCGAAATCCGAATAAACTGCCCACCCGAAATTAAGTAATTTGGTGCTTGATTAGCCCACAGTGTTAACCTGAGTGCGCAAAATAATATGTATTGGCAGTGTATTAACGCCAACATTCTTATACGGCACATAATTCATGCCCCACTGATACGTTCAGTGAAGTAGAGGTTGTCGGAATACCGTGCTTTCGCAACCATCATTACCATTGCTGGTCACATTACGAGATCCCTTCCAAACATCTTAAAAGAAAAATACTTCATACTAGCAAGCCATCCGACCAAGCAAAGTTGTTTTTGCATTGATACGAAACACAGTGAATTCATACCGGAGATGCTTTCGGTTTCTTGCAGTTGCTGTTTACCAATCGTTTCTCGTGAATTGCATCAGCACCGAATGATTGCGTCGTACGCTGGGTTCATGCGGCTCTGGGTGCCCTGGTGTACGTTGCTTACAGGTTTCAGGCAGAACTAAAGGAGAAGAAGAAACACTCACCCGGTGACAAAATGAACGCCAGGTGTGGTGTTAGAACAGTGCTTTTTGTTCTTCCAGTTATTTTGACGTTGGTGACGGAAGTGGTAATATCATCCTTATGATTCGGTTTGGGGTGTAGTGCATTTCAAATGTGTAAACTATTTTCTGCTATCACAAAGCTAGTTCCTCAGGCTTGTCTGATCCGTGGTCGTTAAGAGCCATGATCAGTTCAGGTTAGTTCGGTTTCCAGTCGGAATGATCAGAATGGGCATGCAATACAGCAACGATGGTCTGGTCTCAGAAATCATTATCTGAATGGGTCTTGTATGCTATCGTGATTTTTGTACCCTACGATATATGTGATCTCTCCCCTGCACATTTTCGTAGGTATCTGAGGCTCGACGGAAAAGTTGGCTTTTTGCAAGTTATCTTTTACTCCTGACAATAATCGCCGCCTTCTACTACGTGCACACCACGTACTGCCCTCCATATGGTAAGTGTCAATCCTTAGTTGTACTTTCGAATTATTCATAGTGGCTGGCTCAGTTAGGTTCGTGGCAGATAGTTTAGTGCTCACTTTGTCGCGTAATAAGTAAAGTTGCTCACCTTTGTTGAGACCATTCCAGGAAACCGATCAAAATTAGTCCCTTCCACAGGATGTTTTACCTTTAAGTGATCCCATCATTCAAACGCCCTTTAAGGGGCCCGCAAATAATGGCTTTTTCTTGGGTGTGGTCTCTTCAGAGGCAGAATTTCTCTCTGCCTGAATCAGCTTCGTGTTGAGATAGGCGTTCTTTGGGTCTTTACTCCATTTGCACTTTAAGAACACCATCAAAAAAGTCTTCTATTGCAGTTCCATCACGAAAGGTGAATTTTCCGCAGACTTGTAGAGGATATAGAGAAATGGATATAGTCTTCGAAAGGAAGCTAAATAAATTAGATGGCACGCTATCAACGCACTAGACAACGGATCGGAGTTAACAGTCTACTGTACTATGCAGGTCACAATTCTGGTACGGCGGCATGGTTAGCTTGACGATGTTCAGGGAGTCGGTATGGACCCGGATAAACTAGGGTCGACAGGATGTTGGGACTCTGATAAATTACTCTGGGTAATTTTACGATGTATCGAACTTGACCGGGACATCTCTTAAAACTCCTGTTCATCAACCTAGGCACAATGAAGCGATATCTCACAAATGTTGGGATGTTAGGGGAACAGTAAATCCGATTGGGGAAGCATACAAAAAAAACAATTTGACGAACCGGATCTCAAGAAGAGCAGATAATGCTGTCCGCCTCGGAGCATAAAAAGGCAATCACTGGATCTCGGTAGAAACTGTCTGAACTGAGGTCCCTGGATAGAAGGACGCTGAGATACTTTCCACCAGTGGGCTTCGGAAGACAGAAGCTTTTTGAAACGTTACGATAGCACGTCCATTAAACCCAAGCTTCTGCTTCTCCAAGCCTATACAAGAGCAGTCTAGATGCAGATGTTGAGTTTGAACCACGAACTCCCCGGTCAGTAAGTTTGCGTCTTAATTACTGAGCTATCTCAAACAGTGGCACGCCCACAACAAAAACGTTTATACACTGAGTCAAACATCATCTAGGCTTTACTTTGCTAGACTGAGTCGTGCGCTCTGTTTATCCTGGTTCTATGTCACAACCTACTAGATCAAAGTGTTTCCGTGTGCTTATTTACTAATATCAGACTTTTATTGGATTAAACGTGCCCAGTACGTAGGGTTACTCCTTGGTTCAACAGTTCCTGTATATATACACGACACCGAAAATTCTCTTCTAATGGTTGCTTTTTTTCATTTTTTTCAGTCTACTCCCTGTTTTCCTTCTTTGAATACGTTGCAATCGTGATAAACGTACTATACCAATATTATGCCAACTGCCTGGTCGGAGCCGTCCCCATGGGAGTTCTCTTGGAACATTTGTCATGCTCTGATAAGAAAACGGACCGAATCGATCTTGCTTATTTTTTCAATCAGCAATCCTCATTGGCCACAATACAAAACTAACAATATATATTTTGTTGTCTATTAGATTGAGCCAATTTAGACGCAAGATCCTTGATATCATTACATCAGTTTCCAAAAGCCTTCTGGCCCTCGTGCTGTAACAATTGCACTCGGACAGAGTACAAATGAAAATCTTCTGAATAGGCCGCTAAGTTAGAAGGACCACAAGAGCCTTCTCCGTCAGTAACAGTTGAGTTTGAGATAGCTCAATATAAGGGCACCACAGTACATAAAAATTATAGAACAGTTTCAGCTAATCCTTACTCTGGTATATAGAATGGATAGATGAGTATCAGTAGGGTTCATCGACAGGTGTACGTTTCGCTTTGGATACAGTTAACTTGTTAGATTGCAAAAGAATCCAAAAGAATCATGAAATGAGTTAGATAGGGTTGGGAATCAGGACGATAGGTTGGTGTTTCACAAGCTCCGGAGCGGGCTTAAGCGTTGAGATTCAGGTACGATTCAATTACGAATACTGGTGGCGAAGTAATAGCAAGAACATCCCTTTAAAGCAAGCAATTTTTATTTAGAGACCACCCTGATGACATCAGTGGTTCCTAAAGGAAACTGGTAGGTCTCATCTCTCTCTTGAAGGTAGAATTGCTAGGGTTTAGCCGATTTCAACGTTTAACGGAGATATCTGATGGAATGCGCAGTGCAGTGGTGCTACATCGGGCAACGAACTAACCGCTGGTTTTGGATTGCTGTCATTGCGGAAAGCTGACGTCATATCCCATCGGTCCGAGCCTGTCTTCAGTGCATACCCTCTCCTCCTGACCTTTTCACTAATAAAAAACACCCACCCTTGCCCCTATATTCTCTCCTGGACGATGATCATTCCTGCGTCCATTGAGTAGTTACCCGCCTCCATTTCTCAGCCCATCGGAAGATGAAATTGTCAGATCCAGGGTACTTGTCCCTAGTTTGCAGCTGATGATGAGTAGGCCAGAGCTGCGCTATCACACACGTAATAATATGCATTACGAAACAAAACAATCTCATTGATCCATTAATGATAAATTACATACCTGCATAAGGAGTGGGTAGTTGGATGAATCTACCATAAAATTGCAGCCGGAAAGTGTCGCTGAATTTACTTCATTCTGTAGATTTCCCTAATCAAAGGATGGGAAGGTTTCTGACCTGGACATTTATATCAACATCGTAAATCACCCTGATGAAAATCAGTAAAATACTCTCCATAGACTCGTGCCCGTGGGTTTTCAAGCATAATGATCAGAAACCTGTGACGAGAACGGTCGGCACACCTTTGGAGGAAATACTTCACCACAAAGCAGCACAACCGATTCAGTCGAGCGTTAGGTTTAGTTGTGCGTGGTGGTGTTCGAGAAGGTAAAGCTGTTTTTGATGCTTCGACAACCCGGACGGAGCACTGTTCACGTTTCGGCCGGAACGATATTCAAGACGTTGCAATACATTGTCGAAACATAACACCTTACCCATAGATTTGCTGAAAACACTTCGACAGCCGTCGTGAGCACTAGGCCTGATTCTTATTCTCAGTAAGGCTCATTAGCGGTGCATACTCTTGGCCGTATCGGTTTCGAACTCCGGAGATACGACACGCGAAGCGGGTTTTACCACTATTCCACTAACGCACCTCAAAAATTACATCTGAACAAAGAAACACTTGAGCGATGTGATTTTCATTATCTTCCTCAAGCCGAACGCCAATCAATCAGTTCCGATAACTTGCGTACGATTCTCGATAAATTCGCCCAATGTGCAAACTGCTTTCGTGAAGTAAATAAAGAATAATTTTGACCAGTTATCTTTATTGCTCAGGAGCATGGATTAACTTGGGTCAGTCGTTATCAGTCCTCTTATTTCTAGGTGCCACGGTTAAAAAGTTGTAACCAATACCGATCTTACAGAGAAGAACATAGGTTTTCCATTGTATTTTTTGTTGGGGTGTAGGAAAGTAAGACTGTACAAGAAGCCACGAGTTTGTCATTGTCAACTACTTGATTATGCAGAGCATGCGACATACATGAAAGTAAACCGTTAGCCCCAAACATCCACGTGATATCGCCCATCAGCACGTAACCGTTTCACATAGACTTCGGCTTGACTTGTTGACCTGCGTCCTTTGGTTTCAATCACAGTGAGCAGACATTTACGGACATCTCTGGACATGGTTTTCGCTGATCTGAAAGCACGGTTGGTTAGAATACGTAACACATTCAATGACGCGAGTATCAATTCAAACTTACTGTTGCATGCGCAATACCAAAACAGTATATTCTGGTGACTCATGAGCAATCAGTATTCTGTTGCTAATCGCTTGGCCATTGGTCGAACCCCCCCCCCCCCCCCCCACCCACCCCGCCACCCACCCAA